GAGTCTCCATGGGCGGCGCTGATTGCTTACCATTAGGTAATCCGTCTGCTCGTTTGCCGACCTATTACATAAAAAAAACACGTGTCAGGGGTGTCTAAATAAACTAAGAAGTTTGTTACTCGGAAAATTTGGTACTCGTCAGGTTTTGCACCTGCATACATGCTCATCTTGCACCTACTGTTATCTCTGCATCACTTTTGGGTGATTTCAAAGGTTCCACTGGCAGAGAGTGCATGTAGCATTAAGGCCACCCTATACACAGATGTACATATGTGCAAAAGTCTAAATAAATAAACACGTGAAGCTGGTGCCCTGACCTCCGGGACACCACGATACGAATTCGTAACAATTCGTTAAAAAATGAGTTGTTTGACTTTAATAAACGACACCAATCCACAATAAAGAAGGTTCATTGCATTGCTTTATACATATTTTTAAACAGTATTTTGACAAGCTTTCGTTACTGAGTCATCTCCATGATTCAGCTTTTGTATTAATCACGAAACAATTTTAAGTACTAATTTAAAAGAATTCTTGGCTTTTGAACCGATTACTGAGACGAAGTGACGAGTAAATGTATCGTCACGAGTAATTCGGGTTCCGTAAACATTGCCGTGACGGAATTACGTTATTACAAAAATAGCGTAAGAACTATTTTCTGATATGGTAAACAACATACGCTATGTTTACATGGGAAATTCAGACGGCGTGTATCCTAGAGATCTGTGTACATGATCAACAGCAGATAATGTTTACATGTATAGAGTAAAGAAACCATCGTCATCATCATCATTATCAGCCTGATTCCGTCCACTACTGGCAAAGGCCACACCAATTGGACGCCACTTAGTTTGTTTTTCAGCTCTTCTCATCCAACTACTGTCTGTCTGTGTATTTTACAAAAAACTATCGTTTTGGTTTATTTAGATCTTACTTTTCAAATGACCCTTATTCAATGATCAATAAAAATATTCGAAATAAAAAACTATGAAGTCCACGCTAATACACTGAATTCATAGATAGTAACGTAGTGTAATGTAGTTATTCAATTATTACAAAACAAACGCATACAATAATATTCAACATTATTGTGCAATTAAAAAACTTTTATTATTAACTAGCAGTCCGCCCGGAGTGTCCTAACTGCCTCGCTGACGACGATAGAGCTAATAAACTCCAATATCGCCGTAATTTTCAAAAAAATTGTTTCCTAAGAACCTGTCAATATGGTAAATAAACACAACGAAAAAGAATTTGCATAATTGGTCCAGGAGAAGTCGATTTCTGCGATCAGAATATTTCACAAAAGTAATTAATTATAATTAAGTCAGTATGCTCCTCCTCCTCCTCGCGTCGGTTTCCTCAGTGCTGAGGGTCGTGACCACCTCGTGGAAGCAGTGTACTGCGTATTACTCTCCGCCATCTATTCCTATCTGCCGCCGAGTGGAGAGCATCGTGGACTGTAGTGTTGAGTGTGGTGCGAATCTGATCCGTCCAGCGTATCGGACTTCTGCCTCTAGGTCTCTTTCCTTCCACCTTACCAGTGATTAGTAACTTTTCCAAGTTATCATTACCCCTTCTGGCAGTGTGTCCAAAAAACTCCAGAATCCTGCGGAGGCATATGGAAGAGAGCCTTGTCTGGATCTTAAGCTCCTGGAGGATCGATACATTGGTGCGGTGTGCCGTCCAAGGAATCCCTAGCATTTTTCGCCAACACCACATCTCGAAGGCATCAATGCGGTCACGATCGGCTTTCTTCAGGGTCCACGTCTCTGCGCCATACAAAAATATGGAGAACACCACTGTGCGCACAAGATTGCTCTTTGTTTTTAACGAGATGTTCTTGTCCTTCCATACTTTTTGAAGCTGTGCCATGGCTCCTTTTGCCATCCCAATTCTTCTTCGTATCTCTGATTCGCAAGAGCCATTGTTGCTAATGCCTGAGCCCAGGTATATAAAGCTGTCAACTACTTCCAGATCAAGTGTCCCAGTGAGCTCAAGCTTGCCTGAGCGATCTACAACCATGATCTTCGTTTTGGATCTGTTTATCGAGAGTCCCAGTTCTCCGCTGACGCGCTCCATTCTATTCAATAAGGCGAACATTTCTGCTTCATCTGACGCTAGTAGAGTGGTATCATCTGCGTAACGCAGATTACAAATTTTTTTGTCCGCCGACGGCGATGCCACCATCCCAGTCATCACAGGTGTGCCTCATTATGTATTCGCCGTATATATTAAACAGAATGGGCGAGAGAATACAGCCTTGCCGAACTCCTTTTTCAAAACTGAATGTTTTGGATGTTGTCCCATCAATCCTCACCATTCCTTGACTGCTACTGTATAATGACAGCAGAAGTGCAGTTAAATGGCGAGGTACACCCAGTTCCGATAACACTCTCCAGAGACAGCTCCAGCTGACACAATCAAATGCCTTGCTATAGTCGACGAAGCACATCACGACTGGTGTGTCGAATTCATAACACTTCTCCACAATCTGCCTGATGTTGAGTATCTGTTCACGGGTGCCTTTTCCCTTCACAAAACCGGCTTGTTCTTGTGGGATCTGCCAGTCTAGGTAATAACGAACCCGTTTGTTTAAAATGTATAGCAGGACTTTGCTAGCGTGTGAAATTAGGGCGAGTGTGCGATAATTCTCGCATTTTTTCGTCGAACCCTTCTTGTGTAAAGGAAGGATAATCGACTGAGTCCAAGTCTTGGGCCACTCACCGTTCCGCCATACATGATTGCAGATATTGTGCAAAGTATCAACACCTTTTTCCCCTACAGCTTTTAGCACATCAGCTGTTATTTGATCTGGACCCGGTGCTTTCTTAGTTTTCAGTGCTCCAATGACTGCTACAATCTCCGACCGCAGAATGTCGGGTTCCAGGTCCAGAACAGGCCAGTCTAGTAGGGTAATCTCAGGATCTATTGAGATGGGCTTCTTGTAGAGATGTTCACAGTAGCAGCGCCATCTCTCTGCTATTGCGTCAAGCTCGTGCAGTGATCTCCCGTCGATGTCTTCGATGACCCATGATTTGGGCTTGAATTGTCTACTTAATAGGCGGACCTTCTTAAATAGATCTGATGTCTGTTGTTTCATAGCATGGGTTTCCACTTCGCGACATATATTAGTAATGAAAGTATTTTTGTCCCGACGGCACTCTTTTTTTATGACTCGGCAAAGGTCAGAATATTCCTTCATTACGTCATGGTTTTGTAGCCCTCTCACTTTCATATCCTTCCTTCAAGTCAGTATGAAGGAAAGCTAAAATAGCTAAGAATAAACTTATCTATTTCTATTTTTGAAGTCAGACCTAAGTCACGAAAGACAATAAAATTCTTACTAATTGATAAGACTTAATAGGTATCTGTGAGTTGTTTGCGTAAATTCGTTCACGAATGAGTCATGAAAATAATTACGTAAAAATCAAAAACTTAATTTTAATTATCTAGTTATTGCTCACTGTCTGGTACAAATTATGGTGGTTTAGATTTTTATTCAATGTTTTCTACAGTAGGTTTATAATAGACTGATAAAAAGTTTCAAAAATCAAATCGCTAATTACAACTCTACAAACTTGCATAAAAAATGCATAATTTTCAATAAAAGCTTACCTAAAATAATCTATACATATAAAAATGAATCGCAAAATATGTTGGTAAGCGTATAACTCAATAACGCCTTTACCAATTCTACAGATTATTTATGTGTTAATGTCAGGAGAAGGCTCTTATTCAAGAAAATTTTAGAAAAGTAGAGGGAAGAGTTGGGTAATAGGGACCCTTTCATCGTAAGCGACATGATGAGACCCGTGCGAAGCAGGGGCGAGCTGCTTGTAGCTGATAAACAAACCGACACAGTAACACAATATTCTTATTAGATAAATTGAGTAGGTAACATTATGTTGAACTTATGATACTACTAACTTAATATTATTATTGAACTCAAACCTTCGGTTTTGATATAGATAAGTATTCAAATGAGCCCCGAAATCCGTAGCTTTAAGATATGTACGTGTATAAGAAAATTATTTATGGTAATCGCGTATATTTCAAAGAATTGCTCGATTTGCCCAATTTATGTACCGTAATGTTTGTTTATGTTTTTATAATGATTTATTTAACAGTATTTAACGTGGCCTACACATTTCCTCTAAAACATTCATTTTTATTGCGCGGAAGCTTCACGTTACTGTTCTTCGAAGTTTGACTAACTTCGTCTGCCTCTCCAGGGTCTGTAGTCATGAGAAGTATACGCATCACACACACACACACACACACACACACACACCACATGCATGTCGTGAGTAAACCACTTAACCTGACATTGGGATTTCACATGACATGTACGATATCTTCAGGAAACGTTAATAAATCAAATCAATTATATGCAAATAAGGAAAAAAGAAACAAACATCTTGTATATTTGAACACTATTTAATAGATTTGACGGAACTAAACTTTTTAAGTACATACATATATATCACCGGGCCATCAGTATCAGTAATAAATGTGGTAAAGCCATGTAATAAAATAATACACGATAGCTCAACTAAAAATGTTTCAGTTATTGAATGGACTGTCCCTAAATCTTATACTATATAATAAAAATGGATCGCAAAATGTGTTGGTAAGCGCATAACTCAACAACGCCTGGACCAATTTTGCTAATTCTTTTTTTGTTGTGTTTGTTATTGTCAGGAGAAGGTTCTTATTAAAGAAAATATTAGAAAAGTAGGGGGGAAGATTAAGAAAAAGTGACCTTTTGATAGCGAGATAATTGGACCCGTGCGAAGCGGGGGCGGGCCGCTAAGTAATTTAAATAAATACGGATTACCTTTCACTTTTTATACACGTGTGATCTCTGTGCTTATTTATAATTCGGTTTCGTAGGTTGAATATATGTATGTATATCAATTTTGGTTGCTATCACTGGAATTTTTAGTATAAAATATAATTTCAAATTAATAAAAAGTTACAACAAAATTTAATCCCACCACGCGCCGTTCCTAGTTATTTTGTCTGTAGATTAAAATGACAATAAAATCTTTATTAACCATGGTTTGTATTTACAAGCCTACGAACTGTTATTTGTCTCTAGATAATGGCCCGCTTTTAACGTGTTTCGTTTCGCGCCCACCCCAATATCGAATTGCAAAACAAAGTGATTTATTTCTCCGTCGGAAAACAACCGCTCTCTAACTTTTACACAAAAAGAATAGGACATTGTTAGTTATTACTATTTGGGAAGAGATTGACACAAATATATGCAATTTTATGCATTCGATAAGCAGTAATTCACTATGGCCATACCGGTGCCATGTAAGGCGTTGGGGGAACTCTCGACAGTCACGGCAGATTAGGACCCTTTCAGAACGAACATTCTTCCTTAACGCAAAAACTTTCCTGGCTTTATTATTCAATGTCATTTGTTTTTATCTTATCAAGCTAATTTATGTTTTTTTAAGTATTGACACGGGCAATCAGGTTGACCTTGCCACCCCAGAACATTGCTTCATCTGTTCTATTTGACCGCAACTTAATGAAGTAACTCACGAACACACGTCCATTTTAATCATTACCCACGTGTCAATGCTGAAAAATAAATTACTCAACAAACGTAATCTCCGCGACCCTTGTTACCCACTGTAATTATGATCGTAAAATAATATAAACAAATAAACATAAATATTGTAAGTAATACTCTACTTAAATAAATAAAAATTGTTTTGATTAAGGACCTGCGAGAACATTAAGAAGACCTGGTAATAGGAATTACCTGAGTTTATGTTTATATACTGAGTGGTAACTTGTTTACCTATTACAAAGCAATGCGTCACTAAACACAGCTAATATCACTAAACTTCTTTTCTAGTTAAACTTAGTCTGTTAATTTAAAACACAATTATAAACACGGCGAGAATGAAGTGTGAATAGTTCTTTACATAAAATTTGTACCAACATGTGGTGTCGGTGGGGGCCGTGCCATACCGTGCCAGCCCCATCGTACACCACGATAAAGGTCTCAACTATGACACTGAGCATGTAGCGTCAAAACTACCAAAAGTTTACGGCGACGTCGAGACGTCTGGCCGGTTGCGTTGTATATCCACATTCTGCCTGAGACACCGCCAAAACGAGTGCTGAAAGAGGTTCTAAGGAATCATCGCGGCTCTGGTAAGTTTTAAAAAAGGAACTTAATCCTAATTGTTTATGCTCACATACGCTTTGTTTATGCCTCTGTTTGTTTCTTTTTTTATTGTTGTGACGCATTACCATATGAATGACATCCTCTTTTATTGTCATTATTTGCGTTTTAGTATTTACTTCATGTTCCAGTAATTTGTGTAAGTGCGGTTGTTTCTGCCAGAAATTGGCGCCAAAATGTTTTCGTGGTTTAGTGTTTTCTTTCGACGGTGCTTTATGAAGTCTGGCAGTGATAATGTTTTTAAACACATTTGTGTAGGTTTTTCTCCGATGTATCATGGACACAAATATTCGTTATACTTATAAAACAACATCTAAATAAACAACTGATTTTTAATCTAATTCCAACTGGTAAATAAAAACAAAAGTATTATGATCGTCTCTTCTTCGACCTATCCAATCTTGTCAGCACTTACACGAAATCACCATGAGTTCCAGAAGTTTCCTCATCGTTATCTTTCTTCCACAGCTTCTCGCACCCGCACGTCCGCGCCAGGCTGGAGAAACATATGGGATCCAACTTGGTGCGGCTGACGGACAAGGCCTACATGACGGAGCTGGAAGAAAGGATCCGCGCCGTCAATGAGGAGAACCTCAACAAGAGAATCACCACGCGCGTTGTAAGTAGCAATTAGGCCTATGTGATAACAGAAGAAAATCCTGTTTCTTCAAATCTTATATATAAAAATTAAATAAAGTTCTTTGCTCTCGCCAAAATTAATTACAGCTGCGAAATATTCTTGAAAGTCCAGGAAAGGTTTAAAAGGTCCTTTTATGAGATAAAACTGAAATACCTAAACTTTTTGGTTGAATCGGAATCAAATTACTTAGGTTTTAAGTAATGGTCTCATTAACTACAGCAGAAAAATATCTATCTATATTTTTATACAGAACCTTTCGGTTTATCTAATAAAAATATATGAAAGTTAAATGAATTGAAAATATTATTCTACAAGCAAAACTTTCGCCTTAACCGTCTTGAAACTCAGTACTAAATTGAATCAACGACACTTACTTTTGAATTCATAGTGCTTAGGTACTTACTTAGCAAAATTCTCAAAGTTTGAAACAAATTTTTGGCTATCTATTTTTTGTTTTTTTTGCCTACCTGTATTATATACTACGCCTTACCAAAGTTTAATTAATGCCAATCAATCAAATATCACTCAACTGACAGCTCTGTTTCCGTGTTCTTTGCCTATTTATACGTCAGTCAATGCGAAAGTAATTATCCTCATCAGTCGTAAATTGCTTTATGAACTTTACGATTTCATTTACTACCGACGCCAACACCGCTCCATATTTCTACCCTTTAAGTACAAGTAAATGTATACTAATATTATAAAGAGGTAAAATTTGTATGTTTGTAAGTTTGTATGTAGGGGGTAATCTTTGGAACCGCTGGTCGGATTTCCAAAATTCTTTCACTGATAGATAGCTAAAATGTTCCTATAAAACATCACGCTTCGACTAAATGGAGCCGAGTAACGGGTGAAACCGCGCAAGAATAGCTAGTTATTAATAAATATATTTTATGTACAGTCAGCATAGCTATTTGGCCTAAAGGGAAAAATTAAGATTGACTCAGTACAGAGATGTATTTAGCTAACATAAAAGTTATAGTTATACTCTATGTCCTCTAACATAGAGGATATAGTTATATCCTTTATGAAGCTTATTTATTCTACCATATTGAAGCTCACGAGTAATAAAATCAAGCTGCAGCTAGCTTTATGGTCACTATTTATAAGAAAAACATATTATATTTTGGATATTATTTATAAGAAAAACATATTATATATTGGATGAAAAATATTTTAGTGTGAAAATACGTAGACCAGTTACGTAAATACGGATTCATGTCTGCTTTAGCAGCCTAAATTATAAATACGGATCCCCTATCTGCTTTAGCAACCAAAATAAAAGTTGTGATTTTAATAGAAAATTCATTTTAACAATTGATCTAACTACTCGCTTGGATATCACAAGGAAGATAATAGAAAAAAATAACAACATTTATTTTCATAGATGGATGAGATGGAAAGGCTCAAACGACTAATCCTAGTTGGGAAGACGCCACTGAAGGAGTGCCCACCAGAGTTGTTCCATCACCCAGTCTTTGTATTTTGGCGAATGGTCAACAGGGAAGTTAGCCGCGCGTCAAAAAAACGTGCCGACAAATATTATAGAAAATTGAAGGCCGCACAGAAAGTGGACCTGGTAATTATACCTCATTGTTTTGTAAATAGATTTTACTAAATATTGTAGTTTATGAGATGCCATTAGCTTTTACCTGATTTACAAATATGTATAAGCGGGCATCCTAAGTTTTTCCACTGTCCTATACCAATACGGGTGAAAATCCCAATTGTTGAGTTGTGCATAGTAACGATTTGGAAAAATATATTTAAAATATCTATAAAAAGTAAATTTACATAAATATTTTAACGTTAACGAAAACTCATTTCACAGTCCATGGCCGAGGAACATGTTCCAGAGGAAGTTGTAAACAGCAAAACGTTAACAGCAGAAGAGCTTTTATCAAAAGCTCGTGAAGAAATGGAACATCAGAAGCAATTAGACCTGGAGAAAGGTGTTCGCTTCACCGACGAACAGTTTGCGCAACTCAAATACGAAACTAATGATATTAAAACTCTAAAGAATCTAACGGTATGTAGCAACCATAGAATATTATTATTAAAAATGTATGATGTTTACAGCACACTAAACTTAGCTACTGTTTTTTTTAAACGTTGCTCCCGCACTAGAATTTTTTTGTTTCTTCGGTGTATGTACAGTCAGGGGTCAAAAATGCAATTGCACTCTACCAACTTACCAAAATATCTTTGTTGAATAGAGTCAATGGTTGAGGACTGCTTTAATAGCATGCAATATAGCATAGAATCTAAATTATTTATTCAATAATTGTAATAAAATAAAAAAATAATTCAATAATTTATTCAATAACAAAACTGGCTGTGAACCATTGAACTTTTACTACAAAGAAATTTTAGTCATTTTAAAATTGGTAGAGTGTCATTGCATTTTTGACCCCTGACTGTACAAATGTACAATTTCACCTACACATCACACCCGATCCGAAACAATTAGTGAATTACCTACAGAAAGCTGTTCCGTGCTAGAATTATACACACTTTGCACAGCTAACCCTTCAACCGAAACTGTTTGACTAGATTCTCGAGTAGTTTCAAGCCACGTCAAGGGCTCATAGTCGAGGTCCATCATCACACGTACGTGAAAGTAAGTCGTAAACATAATAATTACCTCATATAATTATGTTAACGAAAGAAACACTCAATTTATAAACTTCATGTCTGCGACAGAGCCCATGACTAATAAGAAACGTAGACAACACGTAGCCATTCTACATTCTATCTAACGTCACAGAAAGTGATACCATAGTGAAAACCATTTGAGTACCAACCTTTTTATAGGTTGGTTTAGAATGGGCGGCAAACGAACATACTCATCATCAAGTAGTTAGAAGTTTGGGTTTCTTTTCGGATTAGGGTTTTGTTGAGAGTTGAGAGGGCGTAGAAATTGGACCATCAGTAGGTACCCTCATTCACACAAAGAAACACAACGCAAGAGTTATTTCACGCTGTTTCTGAGAGGCCGTGGCCTCACTCCAGAGGAGCTGGCTGAAGCACCGCTTTCCGACACTTAGGTATGCATTCATGTGTTAGAGATCTTGATCTGAAAATATAACTTGAGTTTATATAACAACTTATTATAAGAAACTTTCGTAGTATTATCGTTAAAGAAACGCTTGTGAAAGTGTACTTAAATTGTAAATGTAACATTTAGTAACTAGAACAGTCTGGATGCGTGCCTATCACCGTGACACCGTGTCAGCGATGGCTATCTCACAATCTAGTGGTTTTACATAATTTGATTTGTTTATATAGTCTGCGAGTGATAGCTCGTGGTGAACCGGTTTAAACCGGACTGACTCCAGCTTAGCATGACCCCAGGAGCCTGATAATCGACCTATGGACTTGGGTAGTGCTCGTGTAACAGTTAATAACCGGTGGATTAAGCTGGACTTGTCATGACTGTAGAGTGATTCAGCATAAAGTCGAGGGAGCAGAGTACCTCAGCACCAACGCTTATCTATTTAACTATAAGGTGCATTAACATCTATTATTCTTATCCAATAGATAACAGAGAAACCGGTTCAGTTATGTTAAATGCGCGTGCGTCGTTTGATGCTATTGGTGCGAATAAAAATGTTAGTCGTATGGACGCATTTATTTATTTATTATAAGGTAGGCTCACAGCTTATGTATACAAAGTGGTTTAAAGCATTGGTTATAAGCAGTAAGTCATATACATTAGCCAGTTACGAGCTAACCAACATTCTAAAAATACGCATGGGCGATACTGTCTTTTGACTTACTCTCTTACCCTTTCAAAAATTCTATGCAATCTACAGTTCAACTACATTTTTAAATATCAAAGCATTTATTTTATAATAAATATGCTAAATTTGATATATGTATTATATACAAATTACCACTAAAGTTGAACGAGTTTGTTTGTTATTTGTTTACTTGTTTGAACGCACTTATCAGCGAAACCAGCAGTTCCATTTGAAAAATTGTATTTGATTCTGATAGTACTATTATTGAGGAACCTTAGGCTGTCGCCACACTGAAAACTAGTTCTTGTATTTTTCTACTAGGTACAAACAAAGCTTCTGACCAACTTATGAGTAGCGTAAGCTTAAGTAAGCGTGTCTTCTAAGCACGCCCTTTTTTTGAGAACCTCTTTCTATTTTCATGGCAAAAAGTTTTAAGTGTATAAAGTTAGATTCTAATAAATCTATGTACTAAGAATGTGCGTGTTCAAAACACATTTTATGGTACGTAATTCGCGTTATTTCTTATCTGATTTGGAACTAGACTAGCGAGTCTAGCCTGAAGTTTCATCTTACACAATAGTTCTAAGTAGAACAAAGGTCGATTTATTGAAACTTAGAAAACACATAAAGACATTGAATAAACACGCGACGCAATATTTATTGTGTAGGTAAATAGGTTTTAGAAAATGAATCATCAAAATAATACTTCGCAACCACAGCAAAAACCTTTTTACAACTAAAACAGTAGAACAGTCTTCAAAAGGTCTTCCCGTCCGGTTATGATTTAGGTGTCTTCAAGGCTAGAGTGAATAGGCTCTTAATAAACTAGTGCGCCTTACCAACAACGATTGCTTCACTGCTTACCATCAGATGGAAGTCAAGCACTAATTTATATGATATCTACTAATCAATATCTACTGAATCAACAGAAGTTTCGGTCCATAGTTATAAGAATGTTTTAAGTTTTGATTAATATATCCAAATTTTGGGCCTTAACTTACGCTAAAATAACTTAAATATAATTCTTTAATTACTATCGCGATGAAATATAATTCTTAAATTACTATCGCGATGATTTAGGCTGTCTAAATATTATAAATTACTTTCAAAAACAAATTAAACACAAAATTGCTCATATTTCTTTTTAAACATAAAAAAGTGGTAAAAACTTTGCTAAATTGCCCATTTACCCCTTTTGTTTCGCGAGCTTAATTTGTTGGAATGCCTCGCAAAGTTTTAATACAAAATCGCGTGATCCTGGTGCATTGAACTTCAAACTTGTCCTATTAACGTTTCCAAAGTAATACTAAATACACCTAAAATGATTTATTAAAGTAATTTTAAATAAAGTTAATGCACACTACAGCGTTTAGTTTATCACTAATTTACAAATAATTAAAAATAAATTACGTCATTACTGCCTTCAATAAAATTAAGCCAGCGACAGAATATACATGATACATCCTAACTGGCGACATGTCCACTAACGCCTAAATAGACTTTACGACTCGTCTGTCCGGCCCTTTAGTTCATCCGGTTCGAACTGGTTTCAAACTGGATACAAATCACGTTAGAACATGGTAGATAAGTAATGACCTAACCTCGCTACTCACTCGTGCTATTCAAACGTTTGTTACTCACAGAATATTATCGACATTTAACTAGAATCATAACAAATCAATGTACGTAAATTGTTAGTTCAGGTTCTTAGATTTTACAGCTTTAGTATACCATAATTTAATTTCAATGCGTAGGTAGCTCGTCTCTGAAGTTTTTTCACCGATTATTAGATTAATAGTCAGATCAAATTCGTGATTTATACAGGTTTTTTTTTTAGCAATATATTATTGGGCATCTAGGTCATTTAGACAGTCAAGTAGAACTGTGAAAGTTTCAACGACTTTCAGTTACATAGATACTGTAGAAGATTCCTACACCTTTGATGATACGATATGATGAGGGGTTAATCCTATAAGGATATAGAAATAATACCACCCGATTTGAATGCTAGATTAACATTGATTTTTAATTCGTTATAAAAGACACAAATTACATTTTGCATTGTTTGCAATATACACAAAACCTGAGTGTGCAGAACGCACGGGCGTGAGTAGTTAAAATAATGTACGGTTCCGTACATCCTGCCCACTCAAAAGAGATAGATAAAACACGATTGAGATGAAAAAGATTGAAAGGACAAAGAAGATAGATAATGTGATCAAACACTAAAACGTAGGACCTAACCAATTTAGTCACGGAGCGCACTGATCACATAGATTCTGGCGAAGTAGCCTTATCTACACCACTGACCGTGAACACTTCACTGCACTTAAGCACTGATCGCGCTTGATGTGACGCCACTGGCGCCGGATCCACCGGCGCGACTGTCGCCGGCCCCGCCCCAGCAGCCTCCTGGCCCTGGGGGGCCGGCGACGCTGCTGCCCTAGCCGCAGCTCGACGACTCCTGATGAGGTACACGACGACGCCACCCAGTATGATCACCGCGGCTACACTGATGTATAGCACAGTGTAATGGTGAACATCATGAATGCTCAGATCTGTTGATGACTGTTCCTTAACCTCGTCAATCTGAGCCCTTAACTGATCCCAAATAACCTGATGATCCTCGACCATACTAATATTGTCGGGTATTGATGTTTTCATAATTCGATTAAGCATAGACACCTCTGGGACTTCGATATGATGATGAATATTCAAATTACTGAAAAAGTTATTATGAGCATAAATACTAAAGGTATCCCCTTTCAATGTGCAGCCCTGACCTAGAGTAATGATGCCATTGTTTATAAGATGGGTCATTGTCACTCCGTTCGCGCAAATAATGCGAACCTGGCATTCCGGACAACATGTGTACAACCAGGTGTTTGGCCTGTGCAACTTGATCCACCGCTCTTCGCACGACGATTTTACAGACTTACATAAGTGAGCATGATTAATTATTTTAATGTCACAGATGGATTGCTTCATTTTTAGATCGTAAATGGGCATGTTTAATGAGCACAATAATATATCGCTAGGAATATGAGTGCACGACTTTAGATCTTCTTCTGATAGAAGAAAAGCTGTATCCTTGTGCAGATTGTACGCAATAAATGATACTGATGTAAGAAATTGATAGTAGTGTTGTCCTTGTTTCTGAGAGATAGAGATGATTTTGTTTAACTCGAACATTTCGTTGCTTAAAAGCGGAATTTTGATTTCTATGATTAAGTAATTTGAGATAACCCTAGCTGAAACCTTGAGTAATCGATACAAGTCCTTGATG